TGTGGAAAATGCCTTTCTCGGGGAGCATTGCCACCACACAAACACTGATGATGCAGCCTTTGCTGTAAGCCGGCTCGAGAAGAGTCTGGGTGTCTCTGCCTCTCCTGACTGTACAGAAACTTATCAAGAGGACAAAAGCAACGGGTCCAGTTTTTTAAATGGCTTTAGGAGACCTGGACAACCAACACAATTACTCCCTAATCCTGGCAAGGAAAACCCTCAGTCATTAATGTGTAATGTTCTTGACAGACAGTAGACATATTTTCGGTAAAATGGGGCATAGGGTTGTATTTGATAACATTTTATATTTATAATAATTTACTAAAATGTAGTTTCTGGTTAGATGATTTGGCAAAAAATAGAGATTCTCAAATGCAATCACCCATTCACAGGGACCTATGTAACTCGTGGTGACTTTCCATTGTTTAACAAACATTGTACTAGTTACCGCCTAAGCAGCATGTAAGAAATTTTGAAGGACTCCTTTATACCTATAATTTTTTACTATTAAAAATAATGTCAGAGTAACTTATATCAGACCAACTCTCTTGCTTAGAGATATAGACTCTAGACAAAATATAAAAGGTACTGAGGAGCAACCAAAAAACAAAAGCATTCAGAAACTGGAAGCAATATGAGCCTCATAAGAAGAAAAGCAAACGCTATGAAACATACATTTATACAGTGTATCTCCCTGAAGGTATCCCCCAATGCAGGTAACAGAAGAGGAATAGAATGCAGGCAGAAAATGGAAGTCTCCCTGGGCTGAGCAGTCAGAGGTATCTGAACTGTCAAAGCAGCAGGAATTGGAGGAGGAAGTATCCTAGGAAAGACAGAGAGGGCAGTGCTAAAATATGCGCACAGCTCCATTCGGGTCCTTAAATGGCTCCTGACTGTGTGTGAACACGGTGATACTTAGGGACCCAAGAGAAGGGCTGGATGGCTAAAAAGGCTGAGCACGATGGTTCTGGGTTCAGAGGTGTGAATTCAAGTCCTATCAAATTAGAGGGGCTTGGGAAACACTTCGAGCTTTCCACTGACCCCCCGCCACCAAAAAAAAAAAGGTCATATCTTGGGAGTAGGGGCCATATCGCAAGACTGAGACTTGACCTGTCAGACTAAGGGTAAAACAGACCCACCATTGCAAAGCCTAAAACCAAGTCTTCAGAGGTTCAAGGTGACCCTCCAGAAATGTAACGGCCTGCTAGAACAAGACTCAGCATTCTTTAGTGGTAGCTAAACTTTAACATGCACCACCCACAATGTCCAGTAAATAACAAAAATGACCATAGATGTGAAGTCGAGGAAAAATTGTACCCATAGTCAAGAGAAAGCATTGCTGATGGGAACACACCCAAAGACAAACCAGATGTTAACAACTGGCAGACAAGGACTTTAAATCATTATGATAAACATGTCTTAAAAATGCACATTTTGTGAATTTTACAAATCAGAGCCTCACCCACCCCCAGCCTACTGGTGAACTTGAGTTGCCCATGATTTTTAATAAAATTGGGATTTGGAATGGTTTGTATTTGAAAGCCTGAGACAAACAACTTGAAAGTGATTAATGACAGCTAAACTTAATTATATATTTACACCTCCCAGTAGGACAAGGGAGAGAATAAAATGTCTTACCTCTCTGTAGTGAGAGGGCTTTATTAAAAGCTGACAACAACTATTTAGGAGCAATAATTGAGTTTTATGCAAGATTACACAGGCTCTCCTCGTCTGGCATCCCAGCCTAACCACAGACGGATAGGGTACTTAGGCTGCAAACAGTGAGAAAAAAACAGTTGACTTGTGTACAAAACTAACCTTGAAAAGTACTTATCCTCATCTGTCAATGTGATCTTATCAAGGATTTCTATAATTTCTATAAACAGCCATTATATTTTAGCTGAATCAGTAGCATTATACTCTTTAAACAGAGAGTCAGATACCTTCTACTTTAAAACATTTTCCATTAATTTGAACCCCCACCACCCCCCACACCAGAAAAGAAATTTGGCTTCCACTTTCTTCTCCTAATCCACTAAGCAATCTTGTGAATAAAAAGATAATCATATGCCCTGCATGTCTGATGTAATTTTTATAAACCTCCTAAGTGTTCTAATATTTATTTACCATTTTGCGAAAATAATATTTACTGAACAAGCTGGATTACCTTCTTTCCCCAGGGAAAAACGCAAAGTTGGTGAAGATATACTGAATGGTCTGCTAAGTAGATGTTATCTTGGCTTTCAGTTTTGCTTAACGTTCTACGGAGGTTGGCATGGGACTGGGGGTGACTGACTTGGCCTCCCTGATATTGTCTGTGCCTTTCCTGTGTCCACTTATGTTGACACTGCCACTCCTGAAGATGCTGCTATTTCTTTTACTGAGGTAGAGAAACACTCTTTTTTCCCCAAGTTTTGTTGTTCATATTGGTCTCCCAAAAGAATGACCTCACCCATTTTTTTCCTGCTCCTGCCTTTCTCAGGGAGTTGGTTTCCCTCATGACAGGGTGGGAGACCATCTGAGGGACCCGCCCAGCACTGTATCCACAAACAACCCATCCCATCAACAATGAACAAGTCTCCAGGCACAGAACTCAGGCAGCTCCATTTTTCTCTTGGTCATTCACAGAGTAAGTCAGTTCCCTGTTCCCTAGCAGTGCTTCTTTCAAGATCTGGGGGTCACTTTGTCTCTCTCACCTTGGTTGGAGGGTTGGAGACTCGCAGCCCATAAATCTGTTTTCTCCCTAAAGGGACCCTTAGCATCCCCTCCTGGTAAGTGCTCAGAGATTGGCCTCCTCTAGAACCCTCTCTCCCCATGTCTGACTACAAATACATTGGCCAACACTTAGAGCCTCTCTGAAATTCTCCCTCCATAAGTCACCAAGATGAATTACCTCCAAATAGTTTAGAGGTAAACTAAATTGTATCTCTGTATAGTACAACGATCCTAGATATCATGTGAAGCAAATAAAACTCTCAGTGGAAAGAACCAGTGTCTTCTTATTTAAGACAAATACATTTTTTTTTAAATGTGAATGAGGATACTACTGGGCACCTTTCGGTTCAGGAAACACATTGTTGAGGACCAGCTACCTCCAGGCATTAACTACCCAAAACTGCAAGCCCAGGACCTCACCACCATCTAGCAGGAGAAACATATCAACAAACGATCATAATGTAATGGGTTAACTACCACGAGAGAGCTGAGTAATGGAATAAAGCAAGTAACTAAGGCACCAGATGCCAAAAAGGGACTAAACAAGATTTCAGTGGCTGATTCGAAGGTATTAAGTTCCTTTCCTTATTATCTCCAGTTGTGTTTCCATTCTTCGGAGGAGAATGCATCACATGTTTTTGGGGTGGGTTTTTTTTTCCAGCTAGAAAAACTAAGTGAGCAGCCCATGATCGGTTACATAAAAAAATTTCATTTCCAGTGTTATCTTTATTCCAATCCAAACAACCTATTGTGAAGCCTCACTATCATCACAGCTTAAAATATTTTCACTTTGGTGAAGAAAATTTTTTCTGACTTGGAAAAATCCTTGTTTATGACATTAAAGAACCTTAGCTCCTGGCCAGAATGGACTGGATGGGAGCAATGAAATATTCGATTAAATATCCAGGGGAGACACAAAAATGTGTTGGATAAACTCACTTAAAATGCTTACCAAGCAAACACCTGTACCAAAGCAAAGAATAAAAACACCCCGTAGAACTGTTAAAAAAAATAAATTTCTTAATATCAAATCTTCTTTTCCATGTCATAAACAGAATGGATACATGTTCCTAGTAAACACTGTCAATTGAGATAGAAGGAAAAAAAGGTCCCAAGAAATCTAGAGAAGCTACTGAGGAGATTATCTCACAGGCTTCCTCACACAAAAAGTACGGCTAGATCAGATGGTTCGAGAACAAGATGAGACACACTCCTGAGAACCAGCCCACACTGCCTGGGCCTGTTCCTTATCCTTATTCCCCTAAAGCCCCTAAGGACACTCACCCACACTGTCTGCTCCCCACCCCATCCCTATGGGTACGTGTGCCTCTTCTTCTAGTACAGTCTCTCAGAATTTTTACACGAGGAAAAATAAAGTTCCATGAGGCTATGATACTCATGTATGTTAGGCAGAATGAACGTGAGTATCTAAGTCTGGGAAATACAATCAATAATGTTCGTAAAGAATTTTTAGGGGGCCAGGTGGACTCGTGTCTTGTTAGGGAGATCACTTCATAGACGGTGTAGAGGCCTGACCACTGTACATCTGAAGCTGCTGTTGAATAATATTATATGTCAACTATAATTTAATACAGGTGGTGGAGTATAGTGTGGGAATGGAGTCAATGGAATTGTATGATATCGGGGGTGGGGGAGCAGTGCATGGGGAGGAGGGTTGTCACTTTGTGAGGATAACTATTACATTATTTTGTACACCTGAAACTAATAATAATAATAATAATAATAATAATAATAATAATAAAAGAAAGTACATTATCCAATGCACACATCAATAATTTTAGAGTAACACCATTTAGCTCACTTCAGTATTATCACAACTCTCAAAATAAATGGATGCTTTAACTTTTCAAAAAAAATAAAAAGTTAGTATCTATTTAGTTTGACTTAAAAACAAGATCATAGCTAACATGTTGAGGAGCAATTCTAAGGGTTTGCCTTAAACTGAAAAATGGAAGAGAAAGTCCTCAACATATATTAACTTGCTTAGTTAATTAAAAACTAGCTTAGTGATGAAAAAGACTCCCTGAAAAGTCTTTTTCTTAATGAAAAAGGTAACGATGAGATCATAAGTTCTTATTAGCCATTTATCTGACATCCACCTCCATCTTTTCTCATCCCTCCCAAGAACTCCATCAGAAAAGTTAGAGACAACAGTATCATTTCACAGAAGTCTTAAAAGTACAATACTAGCACTGAATCTTGTCCAGTGTCCCACTGAAGAAAAAAAATATACGAAGAAGAAAAAAACACAGAGAGAAACTTACTTGCAGTATCCTGTGCCGTTGTTGTAGGTAACACACGTTCCTTCATTGACACAGGGCTCATGGACGCCCCGACATTGCAACGCTAGAAGGAAACACAAACTCACATTAGAAACAAGTCACTACCTATGTGATCCTCAACCATCAAAGCAACGTTATCCAACCCGGGTCAACCTTCACGCCCATATCCAACCTGACCTGGGTTTCCCTTTAGAGTTTTCATCAGTTTCTGTTTTCTTTTGGCTTCAGGGGTCATAGAAGCATGGAAGTTCATCCCGAGACTCTTCCCACAATAACTGTTGTGTGGTCTTGAGTAATGCTTTACATCTCTGTGCCTCGATCACCCCAGCTGTTCCAACCTTCTCTCCCAACGATGCTAGGGAAACCCAAGCTATAATAGCCGTGCTATGCCATGAGCATTTTGGGATTTGGATACTTCAGATGAGTGATGTAAGGATTCAGCAATGCGTCATTAGGGAGGCCTGGGGAAATGCTAGGGTACCATGATACTAATGAATTACTTAAGCCTTCGAGGGAAGTTTCAGAACAAGCCACTTGAACAAACATCAACCATATTCATTCAACAAACTGTAGGTGAGAGCCTAGCATGTGCCAGGCATTATATTATATTAGGACCCTGAGGCAAAGGGAGAAATGAAATACATAGAGAAATAATTAAACATAATCTCTCACTGTAAGGGACTCTCACAAAGATGGGGGGTTAGACCGTGAACAGAGACTGTCGACAAGGGGGATCAAAGAAAGTGAAAAGTTCATTTTCTCCATACAGATAAAATAATAATTCTCCAATTCTTGAACCCCAGTTCCTTGATGAGGCAATGAAAAGGCACTTCACCACCCTAATCCGTCCCCAACACAGGCTACTCAGAAATAAACAGCAGTAGTAGAAAGTTTCATTGACTTCAGCCAAAAAAAGGAGGAAAGCGATCCAAAATCTGCCACTCACTTGCTGCATAATTACAATACCTTGATTGTTTGGCTTTCAGAATTGGAATTTTCATCACCAAAATGCTTATCATAATTCTAATAACAACGGGAAAGCCAACGCAGAAAGAAGCCTACTCAAATAATAAAAATCAAAATTGAAGTTCATGGGGCTTTTCTGGGGGATTACTAAGATGTCCGTCTCCTAGGATGGTTCACGTACAAATACCTGAAATGTTGAGCATTGAGAAGCCTCCACTTTGAGTTTCCTCTCGCCACACCACTCTGAAAAAACGGTGCGATACCAGAGGCTCTCGGCCTGCCCTTCCCGGGCATCAACGCCAGCTTCTTTCACAGCAGGACCCAGGCACACGCTGGACGTTAGAACAATTCCTCCATGAACGGTGACTGCATAAGAGCCCTGCATTTGCCTGTATTTGCAAGTGATGAACTATTTGACGACACGTTAACGGAAATCTCATCGCTGAAAATACTAACATTTAACAAACAGTAATACCAACAGCAACTAACACGTAGCACTTACTAATACCAGCTACTTGTTGTCTAAGCACTTTACATAGACTAATTCAATCTTCCCGACAACCCTGTAAAGTAGTTCGTTTCATTATACCCCTTCCACAGAAAGGATAAGTGACCTGCCTGTTGTCACACCAGTGAACTGATGAGCCAGAATTTGAACCGAGCGAGTCTGGATCCCACGAGAGTCTGAGCTCTTAACTACAGTGAAACACCGGTTCCCACTATCTGACATCTTTCATCTCAGGATGGGCAGATAGGGATTATTATACCCAGTTACTAGACAGTGAAGGCCGACAAGGTTAAGTGGCCTCCTCACAGGGCATCACGCCACTGGCTGCGGCAGTGCTGGGCCTGGGACCCAGGTCTCTCACTGTGTCCATCCCCATCTCCATGACCGCTGTTGGGGTCACACCAGCAGTTACCAGGCTGCAGCCCAAACAGACAGATGCAGGAAGAGGGTCATCTTGTTGTCCACATCCCACTTCCCTGTAGGGCTCAAATGCTCCCTCTTCCCACACTGATAAGCCCAATGCAACAACTATAATTAAAACAGTTAATGTCAGGTTATTTCCTCCATACCAAAGTTCTCAAACTGGTTTTTTCATTCTCTTCGGACACTTTTATTAGTTGCAATGAGCACTTCCTGACTTTTTTTCTTTTTTCTTTTTTTTTTAAAATAAAACAAGAAAACCTCTCAGTAGGAAAGACATGTCCTGTAGGCACGGCCAGCAGTGGGGGCCTCCCCCTGGAGGAATCCTAGTGCGGCGGGGGAGTCAGGAGACCCGAAATCCTGTCTACCCCCTCACTAGCTGTGCTACTACAAGCAAAGCACAGCCATGTCATGGGGGCTCGTTTCTCTACCTGTAAACCAAACTGGGATGAACTAAATGCTCCTAAAGGGCCCATGTGACCCAACAGCGACACCTCCTTCATTAAAAGTATAGGAATAGAAGGCCTGGGACCGGGAGAAATCTATCCCGGGGCAGAAGGACCCCGCTGCCCACCCAGGACTCAGAAAGCCATGGGTGCAAAAAAAAAAAAAATCACAGTCTGTTCCTATTAAGTGTCCTGGCAAATCATTACAGTGACAGGTTCAGAGAAATACAAACAACACAAAGTCAATATGTGGCAGCAATCAATCTAGCAAATAACTTTACAGCCTAGCCTAGGTGAACCAATCAAATTCAGGGACCAGGAGCAAGGTGGGCTCACAGGGCTAATAATTAATGCCGTTTGGCTGAGCGGCCGGGTCACGCTGCCTTGAACCTTTGACATTCACTAAGCCGCGGCCCTCCGGCGTCAGTGTGCATCAGAGTCATCTGGAGGGTTGGCGGGGCCCCACCCCCACAGGCTCTGGTTCAGTGGATGGAGGAGGCCTGGGAATCAGCATTCCTGACAGGTTCCCAGGTGGCGCTGATGCTACCGGTCTGAGGACCGTATTGAGAACAATTGTACTAAGACCCGTGTGTCCATGCTAAGGGACCCCCTAAGACTATATAAACCACGAGAGGTGTTGGACGACCTAGACGATAACATATTGCTTGAATAAACTAAAGAAAAATAAAATTTGAGACTCATGGCTTTGCTCAGGCGCTATTTCTAAACGAATGCTGTCATTGCTTGCTCTACAAGGAGAAGTTAAAACTGTTAACGCAAAGCCATGACGGCAACTGGGAAAGACCTCCTTTCAGAATTCAACTTACTTTTTCCCCAGTGGAAACCATATCGATTTAACAATGAAATTGAAAGCAGCTTTATATTTACAGAATAAAAAACAAAATACCCAATCATACCACAGTTGGAGAACTGATGTTTAAATCGATGTGGTAATAGACTCAGAGAAGCCAGTCACTCAAAAAGAAAGACTTCTTCCCAAATTTTCATCGTAAGCCACAAATGGCAGTCACTCAATAAATACTGGCTCACTGAAATCCATCTCTTATAGCGTGTGCGTGTGCGTGTGTGTGTGTGTGTGTGTGTGTGTGTGTGTGTACACACGTCCCCTCCCCCCAAAGAGGGCAAAAGCAAAGAGCAGCAGTGGACTTCAAGTTCATTGCTCCATCACACGGCAATGTGGCATAAAACCTAGAAGCCAATTTCTAATTTTCACAGGTTTTCTGTGCAACATATTTGGGGCCTAATCTTCTAATATTCAGAACATACAGAGCATCACTATGTGCGGTGCAGGCCCTGATGTCAGGGACACCATGGCTAATAGTTAAGACAGATAATAGATGAGTAAATAACAAAAGCCTTTCCGACAATGGTTAAGTAATAGATTCTGTTGGAAACAGAACCCAGGTATGGGGTACAAAGTCATCACAACGGCTGGAGGTGAAGGGACTTGCTTTAGAAAGGGCAACCAGGAAAGGCCTCTCTGAGGGGGTGCCTTTGCGCTAAGATTTAAATGGACAAGAAACATGAAACTATAAAGAGGAATCCCAGACAGAGGAAACAGCGCGTGTGCAGCCCTGAGATGGAACCGAGTCTGGCATTCCAGGTTCGAATGGCTACAGCTTATGAAGCAAGGGGGAAAGCAACAGGAGTCAGGCCAGGGAGGCAGGCAGGGGTTAGATGACGCCTTCGCTCTAAGATGACGGTAAACTACTGGGCTGCTTTACGCAAGGAACACAACACAATCAGATTGATGTTCGAAAAAAGTCATGACTGTACAACGTTCCCCGTGAGCGGCGTTTTTCTCCTTTCTTAGAGAAGCTGATTCAAGTCATCCCATTTTAGACTAGGCTGAAGACATCGACTTTCTCAGCTCCCCCAGAAGAGTATAGATTTTATTCTAATCACATCGAACTTCCCAGAAGCACCTCTTGCAACGTTGGGCACTCTGCCATGCTGTAATCTGCAATGGTTTTTCAGTTCTCACTCAATTCTCAGAATTTACTCTCAGTTTAGCTCCTGAAAAACCAGCGGAGAGGGCTAGGCAGAGCCTTCGCACAGTGCCGAGCTTGGCACTTTTTCTTCCTCCTTCCAGCCTAAACCCTCATGCCTGCCTTCAAGATGGCAGCCTGCCCCACCTGCCCAGGGTGACTTCCCACCACTTTGAATGCAGTCTCTTGCCTAAACAGATCACCACTGAACTCAGTTCCATGCCTCCACTTGTATCTTAGCTCCCTCAGATTGCTACTTCCCCTTTACATCTAAATTCTACTCATTCCTCGGAGGCCCAGCTCCCCTCCTGCCTCGCCCACAAAGCCTCCCCCTGCCCCCCGATGGCCCTGGTCCTCACGGGCCAACCCGACTCTTGGAACACTCATATCTCACAATTGAGCACTTCATTCCATACTGTCTTCTAACTCTGTCTGCTTTTCGCTTCTAAGTTCATAGAGGATAGAAAGCATTTCTTCTTTTCTGTCGATTTGAGGCAATATTGTTTAGTGGCTGAAAGCATAAGTTGCCGAAACCAGGATCTGGGTTTGGATTCTAGCTCCGTCATTTGCTATCTATCTCTGTGTCTTCTTTGTGCTTCGGTTTCTTCACCTGTGAAATAATGTCTCTCAGAGCCCTGGTAGGAGTTGACTGAATTACTACATTAAAGAGCCTAGAACGAGGCCTGATATGTAGTCAGAGCTCAAAAAATACTAG